CAACTGGTGATAAACCCGAAGCCTGCATGCTTGGACTCGGCCAGAGTCTTGACAGCATTGTAGACTTCTGTCTCCGTCTTCTTTCCAGAAAGAACCACAAATAGGTACTGCGCACCGAGGTCCTTGACTCCTTGGAAGAAAGGGCGCAATTGATCCTGCAGCTTCCCAGCTCGAATATTCGCTTTTACCTGAGCGTCTGGGGCCTGGAAGTTCAGGGGTTTATCCGCAATAGAGAGGCCCATCGAGCGCATGAACTGCAGCCACTTCTTGAATTCAGTCTTGACTTGTTCATGGTTTCGATGATTCCAGCTGTCAATATGCACCCATGCCCATTTCTCAATCGCCCTTCCTGGCCTGGTGAATCGGACACTATCCATGTTCCACTCACCCTCATTGACGCGGACAGTCTTGGGTTTGGTCGTGTTGAGATCGCTGTAGACGATTTCTGGAGCGGTCAATTCACGGCCGTGTACAGTAAGAAGCGTCTTTCCGACTGCGACGCCAAATTTTTCAAGAAGATTAATACCGTCCAGTCCAAGTACTTGCCGCCCAGTATTGATGATGGAAGTCGCGTTTGCAAAAGGCGAACGGCATGAGAAGTTGATCATGCCTGTGGTCTCGTCTCCAGTAGTCTTTCGCCTCAGAGGCTGGCCATCGATGATCTCAACTAGCTCAGCAGGCACATAGACGGGTCTTGACTTGTTGCCTACGTTTATGACCGGAAACTGCGGGTTCACATCGTAGTTGAATCCTGCCTACTGTTAGCTTCTGCGGCCGAGTTCTTTTTGCAACGGCGCTTACGCTTCTTGTAATAATCTTTGACATATACGAAGGTGTCCGCCTTAAACCCAGCGGGTGCTGGAGCTCTGAGATGAAACTGTACTTCATTGGGTTTGGCCCCAGTGACATTCAGCTTAGGTTTCGTGGCTTTGTCCGAGTCATTACCGTCTCCTCGAGTGGCCAGTCCCCAGACCACCTTTTGGACCATGCGGTGGTTCTCAGGATTCTTGTCGATGAACATCTTGTATCGAACTCTCAACTTCATCTTCGTCAACAATCTGTTGATCTGTTCGTAATTATGTTGTTGGTCGTTAATGAACTGAGTGATTGGGCCTGTCACCCGAAAGACGCCATGTGCAACGTTTGCGTTCAATACTAGGCGACCTGTAGCAGGACGAACACTCTGGAAATAACCCCGAATGACACGGTTGAACTCAATGGCATCCAGTCTCATCCGCTGGTCTGTCTGATCAAGGGGGAAAAACCGGTTACCTAGAGCTGCAACTTTTTGGTTGCGCCGCGCTTGAAAACCGGTGATGATTGTAAGGGCAGTGATCTCTTTCTCAAATTTTGGCCAAGCGTCTTCTGACACATCGCTGAAAGTATTAGTGTACTTCAGCAGCCCGGGCAGGTCGATATTGATAGGCTTTGTGAACTTGACTGTGAACTCATCGTCATGGCCCTCTTCGCGGTATGCTACCTTGACTGTATTTTCCGCCGGTAGGGTGAATGGCTTGTTCGTGATAACTTGCTGCTTGAAATCTGTAACATAGACTACCCCTTTACTGAGTTTACTGACTTGGTCGAGCGCACCGCTGACAATCCAGTAAAGCTTCTTTCCCGCTGGCTTCTTCTCGTCCTTACCGACCACCACGTCGACGGTGTAATTGAGTAAGATTTCTGCTTTCAACTTCATTTCGAAGTAGTTAGCCCACAGAGTGACTTCCTTTCCTTGGCTGCCGAAAGCGGGACGACATGGGAATGGCGTTCCGGATATCTGGACATTTTTCATTCGGGTGGTAATGTCACTATGATGTTTCTTGAGAATGTCATTCTCAAGCTGTGTGATTTTCGGATCGGGCTTAGGAACCGGAGGAACCTGAGAACCCACACGTGGTCTGAAGGCCATATTAGCATTCCAGTCATGTGGACCACCATAACGTAAACAAACCTGAAAACCAGATCTTCTCCCTTGAACTTGTCGCCTCCTCTTCCTCTTCCCTGGCCTGGGCCGCCTTGTGGCCGTCCTCCTCCTCGCCCGTCAAAGAAGTCACCACGACCTCTGCCACCAGAGTCACCACGACCCCGACCCCGACCACCGAAGTCGCCACGTCCGCCTCGCCCGCCTCGGCCCCGGAAGTCAGACATTCTAGATCAGAATAGAGTGACTGAGGTGGGAATGATAGAGAAGAACGATGTTGGACGTGGGCTCTGTGAAGCAAGGTTGAATGGTGGAGGAGCCAAAGGCCTGCTAGTTATAGCGAGGAAAGAGTGTTGGCAGAGCAAGAGAACAAACTCTAGCGATGGATTGCTGATAAACAACCTGGGTTGAGAGATATGAGTGTGGTATTAACAACCGCGAACTAAGTGCTGATGCTCTAGACACGTTTTCGGCCAACAAACGGAGCAGGTCAAGCGGTTTGGAGTCGCAGACTATGCTGGCACAAACGAACCGGCAGGGTCAATCCTGGGAGGGCCTGATGAAGTTGGGCAATGTCTGTATCATGATCAGACAGCTGTTGTTAGGGCTGTAAGGGTAATATGGATTGAGTGTGAAGAAAGGCGCCAAGGGCTATTGGGGAGAGCCGTCAATCATCTGGAACCACTAACTTACGTGATAGTGATGCCTGGCACCCAACTAAGAGGGCTGACCACTCGCTATTGATGCTTCAGATACCGTATCTGATCAATACATCTAACGCTAGGCAATCGAGACAGCCGATGTCTCTATATTTGAAGTGAGTCCACCCGAAGCACAGAATGAGATGCCTGAGATATCAAGACAGACAAAGCTGGGGGGTGCAAGTTGAGAGGCGGTGGAGGTCAGAACTTAGAAGTAAGGAAGGAAAGGTGCGAGGGGCTTAGTGGCGCCCGCGGCAGAGAGTCTAGTCCCAATTTGTCGGACAAGTCGTTCGAGAGAGAAGAGCGGTAGATCTGCGAGTGTGTCAGGTAGCGATACGTCACTTTTCAAACTGTCACTTGTGAGTAATGGGAACATTGAATGTATCACTGAGAGATCTGACTGATATGGATGCAGACGCATCTGACTTGAAGTACAATTGATGTACCAGCTCGGCTGGCTTGATGTACACATTTTGCACACCCATTTAACTGTTGGGGGATGGGGGACGCCGAGCAGGGGGGAAGAGGCATGTTCCCCGTACTTAGGTACCTACATGTAGTGATGGTTTACTGCCTCGTCGTCCTGGAGTATTTGCATGTGTGTTTTGAGGCTACGACTTGCCTTTACTGATTGGAACGAAAGCTGCAGGCATGGCGTGGTTCCGATGGATTGTTGGAGATATCTGCGGGTGGACCACCATGCTGCTTTTGGGCTGATGTCATTACCTTGATCAGGCTCATCGAAAAAGAGTGAGCCCTCTCCATCCGCACTATCCACATAGCTTTGTCCACTGATCTAGAATGCCTGAGCGAGACCGATCTTTTGTTTCTTTTCACATGATTGATGTCTATCTGTTTCATTCTCTCTCTCCTTCTGTTACCACCCGAGATTGCATTGCTTCTGTGGACAGGAATGGGCGCAACACTGGTGGCGACAAACGGATTGATGGGACAGGCCGAGCCTGGTATTCAGCTTTTGTTGCCGTTCCTCCCTTGGCCCCTGTATCAGCTTCTTCAGCTTTCCTGCGACCATCGTGTTTTTACACTTCCCATCAAGAACCTTGACGCGTCACTGTACCGGTCTGCCTTTCCGTCAATGCTCACTGCAATGGACATACCGTGAACTTGCTGTGAACTCCCAGGCTAGCAAATGACAGCTCGAGATTACGAGGACACAACACACGGCATGCAGGCTTACGAGCAGCTAAAGATCCAACCAGATTCTCAGCCACTATCTTCCAGTGACTTGCGCATCGTCAGCGGGCCGTTGTGAGACAGTGCAGATGCATCCTCATGGAGGATGACGTGCCACTTCACTCTCATCCCACTGCAATGAGTTTCTGGTACACTCATCTGACATACATGATCAACGATCATGTTTTCAGCCCTTTCCTGTTTGATGTCAACTACTTAATCAACTCTTATCGAAATAATTACCAATCCAAGCACAATGGATACTTTAGATGACTTCTCTTAGTACATACGTGGTGATAAAGGAGTGTGTAGAAGTTGGCTGTGTCTTGTTCGTTTGCATGGCACGCCGTTGGCCATCTCTACATTCTTTCACTGCCAGTATGACTCACTGCCACACTGTGCTGCATGAACATGCCAGATACCGTACGGATCTTCTGCATATTCCTGAGCAGCGAATCATTTTCATTATGGACTACCGAATCAGGCACCGGTCAGGCATTAACTCCAAGTTCCATTGCCGGGATGCATCGAGAGGCGAAGGATATCCTCTGTATGCAGTGACGATCACACTCGCGACAACTGATGATATCCCATCTTGTATATCGTCTTACATATTATAAGCTCTGCTATTGCTTGGAGATCAGAGTTATGCCTCTTGGATGCGCTCATTACCTTGAGGACCCCGTGTAGAACACATGTGCGGTATCTTATGCTTGAAAGATATGTTGATGTGTTTCTAGCAATCCTAATTCATACCAAGCAAATGCGGCAACAAAGTGAAGTGGAGTGTTGACTGGTACCTAAGACATATGTGCCACGCAAAATGGAAGAGTTTGGCAGTGACAAGCGACACACAGAAGCAACTGTACACACTACTACGGTAGTAGTATGGGTGGCCCAAACGGCTGACGGCAACGGGAGACTCGGCCCTCACGCAGGAGACGGGATGAAGCAAAAAACCTCCAAACAATCGCAATACTACGTGAAAATAAGTAGCAAAAATAGCAAAAGAAATGGTGCGCTCCTGTTTGAACTAACCAAGGAGCATCGGGAATTGAGCCCAGTGTGAGGGTCAAGCCCGCAACCTGACATGAGTTTGGCAGTTTGGGCGTTTTGGTGCGTGGCCTGGAACAAGGACAAAAGGAAAATCGTGATCTCAGTTGACTGAGATGCATCAGGAGGTCAGCCCGATGCGGGGCTCGAACCCGCAACCTTGGGATTACATCCTTATAGGTCTGTAAAAGTCCCACGCTCTACCGATTGAGCTAACCGGGCTAAGCGAATTGCTGGCTCATTATTGAGTTGCAGGGGAATTATTGACAACTATGTTGGAAGGCGGAAAATGCTATGGAAATTTGCATAATGGCAGCTGCAACCCCTTTGGCGACTGCGGATACCGCCAGTCCTGCGACACCTGGCAGCCCTAGTGGTCCTGTAGGTGGCTGCCCGGCAATAATTCTGCCGTTCCTCACCGCCTGGTCTGCTAGATATCTAGGTGCCTTGGCCCGGTAGGTATCTGCTGTGGCACCTTGATGGCCCTGTACCTGCCTGGCAAATTCTGCCGCCTGTCACCGCCAATCCCAGCAGAATTCTGCCGTTTCTCACCGCCTTGGAGTCCAGTACTTAAGCTCGCTTTGCCCGCCACCATTTGATCTTTGAATTCTTCTCTCCTCATACTTACCTTGGGGTGGGAGAAGGGGGCTCCTCAATCCCCTTCCCCATGGTATTCCAGCCTGCATTGCACATCGCGGAGCTGGGTACTGTTTGTCGATGCCTCGTGTGTCCCAAACTCCGGAATTTTTGATATTCTTCAGCTGTTTTCATTGTACTCACCACTCCGTGTGGTGATATGAAGAAGATGATGCCATCCTGAGTTTCTGCCGCAGTGAGCTGGTCAATTTGTGCGACGCTGCCTCGTGCGCTGAAGCCACGTAATTTCTGAAACCTGGTTTTCGAACCTCGACAACAGAATGGCCGCTGCTGTCCTGCTTGGATGAACGTCGTGCCAATGGCATGGTTGCCTCTTACGTGGCATTTCACATTTTCCAATTCAGATTGTGCACACTCGCACTCTTCCTGGGAGTCCACGATCTGCTATGCGGATGTTCTGACGATGCTTCGAGTCCGTTTGAAGCCAACGAGAGGAGTCTGATGAACGGACAATCCTCGTCGCCGATTGATGCCCGTTGTTCACCTACCTTACAGACCTGTTTCCGCGCACGCTCTCTCTCTTACCAGGCCTGCATTGATCATGTACGTAATGTACACATTTGACGACGATAACACATTTCCACTAGTAGGTAATTCACATCACTTTGAGCACCTCCGCGCTGGTCAATCTGGTACCTCGGCGAGCTCGGGCACCGCGACGCGCCTTGCAATTCATGTTGACTTACTGCCTAATTTGGCCATGAGCATGACATCAGAGCATCCTGCCCGTTGTCCGCACATTGACTGTCCAACCTCTTTGCTTCGATAATGAATACCAAGATTGAAAATATTGGCGATGGCTACCTAACTGCGGCGACCAACCGGCGAGGCCTCCTAGGGACCTGGTCCTTGGCCCCACAATGCTGCCATCACCAACAGAACAGTGAGTCACATACCTTAAGCATGTTGGTTACAACGGGAAGATGGTTGTACACAGAATTCACTATTTAAGTATTTGACCAACTTCAGGCACTAACACCGCACATACAGAGTCTTGATCAGACAACAAGAAGATGGAACAAACCACCGGAAACCAGCTGCCCCGCGATGCGAGGTCTGCGGGGACGTACATCGTGCCTTCCCGGACCACTCACACCCACACGATAATCCTTCTTCATGGCTTCAGCTCCAACGGCGAAAAGTTCGGAAAAGAGCTTCTTGAGACTGGCATTACATCGAGCGGAAAGACATTCCAAGATCTACTCCCAGGCGCTCGCTTCGTTTTCCCGACAGCTAAACGCCGGCGTTCAACGGCATTTGGGAGAAAGAGGCTCACTATTTGGTTCGATATCGCTCGTCTCCCTGATCCGTCGCACAGAAGGGAAACACAGCTACAAGGGCTGGCGGAGTCCGCGGTTGAGATCCGCGAGTTGCTTCGACGCGAGATGGAGCTTGTCCCGGCGAAGAATATCATTCTTGGGGGGATGAGTAATGGGTGCGCAATGTCTCTTTCTGTTTTACTGAGTCTGGAATATTCGCTGGGGGGTTATATTGGCATCTCTGGGTACTTGCCTTTCTGGCGGGAAATTGAAGATGCTGTCAATGGAGTTGGCGGGACGCTGGACGGCGGAACAGACGATGATGATCCGTTTGCGTCATCTGATGACGGCGATCCGTTCGCAACCTCGGGGGATGAAGGTGAGCATCCCAAAGAGCCGGTATTGAAAGCTCTGCGATTCGAACGAGATCTACTCTGCATCGAAGAATTGCCCAATGCCACGGTCGAGCAAACAGCTCAATCAACGCCGGTTTTTCTTGGTCATGGCGATCAAGATGAGAAGAAGCCGTATGTGGAGGGCGAGACGGCTTCGAGGGTAATGCGCGCTGCTGGCTATGATGTCGATTGGAAGCTGTACCCGGGGCTTGGCCACTGGTATAAGATTCCTGATGAGATCGACGATATCACGTATTTTATTGGCGAGAAGGTGGGGTGGGAATTAGTTGACACATGATATAAGTCTGATAGTTACAATGAAATCTACATTATATGCAATCTAGGAAGTTATAAACTGAATGAATACTTGCTTACCTGTTTATCTTATCCAACCTCGATACCGGAGGTTCGCCTCATTGCCCTCCAGGCTCAAGCCGCTTTCCTATTTCGCTTTCACAATCCGTCAGTCGCCTTCTGCACCAATCAAGCTCCTGTGGGAGACGATGAGTAGCGAGAACAGCGCACAGTCATACTATCGTTTCATTTTGAACCAATCGCGAATGCGATGGGTGCGGGTGGACGGGCCGCGAGCGGACTCGTCACTGATGTGTTGCGGCCGCTCATCCAGCCAGGAGCTGTGTAGAACTCGGTTAGCAGACGCTCTCTTTGCAGGATCATACTCGAGCATAGTTCTCAAGAATGTAGCGAAATCAGTGACATCCTCTTGTAGATAGCGGTAGGAAATCTCCTTCCTCCGGAGCACCCACTTGCGTTTTCTACCGATCTCTGCCTCGAGGGTAGTCGAGTAGCGGGAGTTTCCTATCACTTCCTCGGTACGTTGGCGAAACCGCTCGGGTGTATAGGATACAGCCTGAAGAGCTCCTGTTCGTCTGTCTTTGAGATTCTCACGTCTCATGCCCTTCCTTTCTAGCACCTGGTAATACTTACTTCGAAAAGGCTCTGGAAGTGGCCCCAAGTAGATCTCAAGATCTTTGGGAACATTTTCGATACGCTTGAGATTGTCGTTTAGCGAACGGAAAGGGCCATCGTCCCCGGTGCTAATCTCATACAGCGTTACACCCAGGGACCAGATATCGCTATACGTACCCATAGGTAGGCCGCAATCGAAATGAACCTCAGGAGCAGCATATGTCCATGTGGTCGTGCTCGGTCTATGATTACTATCGCTTGCGAAAAAAGATGCCCCATAGTCAACGAGGGCGACCTTTGGGGTCACCAGGCTCGCCCACCACTGGCTCGTTGGAGCTCGCACAACATATCTCGGAGCGTGCGAGCCACCAAGCCTACCGCTACTTCGTTTCACTGCGTCGCAGACTGGTTTACCCAGTAGCTCCAAAACTTCACTCCTGCTGAGTTTACTGAAGCCCTTGATTCTTATAAGTATATTGTCGGGCTTGATGTCCCCATGACAGATCCCTTTGTCATGCAGGAAGCGAATCGATCTCGCTACTTGGGAGCATATCCACTTCGTCCCAGCTAACCGATGCGGAAATGATTCCTCGTTGAGCCCGCCTGTAAGCGCTGGAAAACAGCTCATGATATCGCCACCAAGAACAGGAAGAACTACGCACAGATGATCTCCATTGGGCCCTTTACACCAGAACTCTTCGTAAGGGGCGGCGACATAGTTTGCTTCCATTTGGTCATCGGAAGCATGTTCCCTTAAATGCTTATAGATCTTCCGCTCTTGGGTCTGTGAGGAGGCGTTAGCAGTCATTATCTTGACTGCCCTCCACCTCGAGGCCTGTTTGTCAAAACATAGCCATACAATGCCCACTCCACCGGAGCCGAGTTTGTGGACAACTTCATACCGGCCTCCTAGAACATCACCCAAATGGACTGGGTGATGTCCGCCTTTATTGTATAGGGATATATCCTCTACTAAATTGCGTGCCTCTCTCTGTTGATATAGGACATCTCCTTCGGGCGTATGATCGTCGTTCCGGTGACGGCGTTCATCGCGGTGGTCCCTGCGGTCGTCTCGATGACCTCTTTGTTCTCGACGTGACATCTTGCCTTGTAGTTGATAACAATTGATTTCTCCGAGTTTGGGTTTTCTTTTGTTCAGTACACAGCAGATGGCAAGAGGTGACCAAGTCTTTCCTTATATGCTTTTTGAGATGCCATCATCAGACCTCATTAGCAGCCCAAATCAATTCGATTGTTGATTGACATGACAAGTGTTCGAGTCGAAGATTGCGGGAGTACATCCGGAACGCCATTCCTGTTCGGTGCTCATCGCCATTGTTGGCTTTTCAGTGACGCAACGCCTGTGTTGCACTTCTGCCTCTCGTTTCGGGACAATCGCATTGTACAACAACACTGTTGGCCAATGCTACATAGATAGTGACTAGACCTTGTGTGTCTCGAGAAAACAGTAGCCGGAGATGTTATTTACCTAACACATTATATTCGGGATATTCATCAATTGAGCTACAACAGCCTTTGTGTATACCTGTAACAAAGTGCATATGCTTAGTTCCTTGCCTGAGAGACGTTATAACACCCAACGCCTAACGCCAGTATGATATTTAATACACAATACGCTACATACGGTACCCTTGACCGGCAGAAGGGCTGTGGTAGTCCGACAAGCCCTTATTCCAACGAACCAATCCCTCAGTGGATGTTGAGCCTAGAGGTCTGCCATTCTCGTACATCTGGTCCAGCCGGTCAAGGGCTTCATCATTTCCAAGTCTTCTCTTGCGCCAAACCCGGCGGAGAATGAAAATAGACGAAATAATCAATGCAGCACCGCCAACGCCTCCGGCAATACCCGCGATAGCCGCGGTAGATATGCCGGCTTTGGCATTGTCTGAATTTTTGGTCCCATTCGTGATGGCTCCTGCTGTGGGACTTGCTTCTGTCGTGCTCGAGGACATCACGCTCG